TTTTCTCCTGTTCTGTCTCATTCATTAACGACGACTCGAGAGAAAAGAAACACAACGGAATCAAAATCACCGGATCACAGCTTTTTGCGGAACGTATGCTACGTTACACAACGGGGATAGGGATTAGACTGGATTGGATTTAAGGATAAAATATCGTCGAGGGACGTCGAAACGGAACGATCGAGAAAGCAAGGACTCGCAGGAAGAACTCAGTGCAAAGATATACAAATTGTCGAACGAATTTTCCTCGTTACAGTCCTTCAGTCGTAATTAATTACCATCGTTAATCCTGATCGCCGACTGTAAACTGTATACACGCGAAATACACATCGCGAGTGACGTGTGATCCCTGTTATTTTATCGATGTTAATGCGATATCAATAGTCGTATTAAGGGATCGGTTGGTTCGCGACTGTTTTCGAAATCGTTCGCCGGCGGCTGTGTATAATTAGTCGACAAGCGCGACAATAGATGCCACCATGGAAGTATTAAATTGCTTTATTTATCAGATTAATTGAAATCGAGGCTTAATTACCGACGCGCGTGTTTCATAATCGTTGGTTAACCGAGTTGTTCGTGCTCGTTCGCGCGACCTGTCCCTTGTCGTTCATCCGTACGAAGAGAATCTTGACAGTGCGATAGGAGTTGAAACTGTAGCATGTAGAGAAAAAAGCTTGACGTGATTATTCAAACTCAATGTTGGTAATTAATTTGTTAATCGACACCACAACGACTGATTAAAAGAAACGAAAATGTAAGAAGCTTAAAATACTGGATATGTATGTAAATAAATATAAATAAACATATATAGAATCATAGCAACATCACCGATCTTGACAATCTGTTGCAAACGTGATCAAACACCGAAAAGAGAATGATCAACCCAAAACGCAAACGTCATTTTGTATTCCTATTTCCTAAATTTTCACTCTTGTGACAGAATATGACAGTAATAGTTCAACATGTTTGAATATATGTATATATTCAAGAATGAAACTTTTGTCGTAAGTCGTAAAGATTACGAACGTTTCTATTTCAAGAATCGATCGTAGGAATCAACGTCTCATTCACGACGTCGTGCTTCTTTTTTTTACGTCCTCCCTTTCACGGTATGTCATCCTTGCTTTTACGTTCCGTTTTCAATGTTCGACAGAAAGGCGGAGAGGTGGGTGGAGATCGAGGACATAGAACAGACGGTGGAGAACGTTACAGAAAGCATAATTTCCTCGTTAATTGTCTTTTGGGCGGTTTGCTTCGGTTTGCGGTAGTCTCTTCTACGAGGGTCGGTACTCTCTTTCTTTTTTTTTTTTCTTTTTTTTTTTCTTTACTTTCGCCTAACTTTTTAGCGGATGCCTTACTTCTACGTTTAGCAATACGTAATTTGCTCTGGATAAGAGATAGCGGTATCGCGGCTTCAGCATCCTGCCGATTTCTCCGCTCCCATTCCCATTCTGCTATCGTACTCGGTTCGTTATTTTTTCAGCAATTTTTTTTCGTTTTTAAGACTAGCTTTCAACGTTCGGTTGAAAAACAACAAATCGTCGAATACTCGGTAGAAACAAGAATTTCCAATGAAACGCGGCTTCGTGTAAGCGTCGTGACGTGCCTTTATTAATGCTTCAAATTAAATCTGTTTGACCGTGTTTGGAAGCATGAAACGTATTTTCGAGATAAATTGCTGCCTAAGTTCGTAGAAACGGCTCTGCCCGACGATTATTTCGAAACTTTGCTGAAAAACGTACGTTCAAAAAGAAACGGAAATTCTCGTTCGCCGGAATTATCTCGAAAATAGCCATGTTCTTTCCAATTGATTGTTCTATTGAATTTCTAAGTAACTGACGTTGAGCATTGGCAGCCACGACAATTTGGGTTTTGCGTCAATTGTGGAATCTTCAATTTGATTCAATTTCATTACGAATGTCTGTCAGAGAAGATACGGTACATTTAAATACACAGAATTTAGATATGTAAATTAATACTATACTGCTACGTTAGTATAAATCTCGCGAGGAAGACGATTACTTAAAAAAAAACGATTGATCAAACCTCTTCTCACGCGTACAGGACACCGGCAGGATGCTTCAGCCTGAACACCCGGAAACGCCTATATCGTTTTATAACTATATGACCTACGCTAAGTGTTTTCGATTAAAACTGTTTAGCTTAAAGATTACATAGAACGTGACTACGTCTCAACCACTACAAAGATCAAACGACTACCAGAGAGAAACACGTTAAACTTTCTTTCAGACTGACAGGAATCGCGGTGACAAGGACTTGGATGCGATCGATTCGGAGAAGAAATCGGGACAAGGATATACGGGCATGAGGGAATGGCAGGAACTTGGGAAAAGAGACAGAGAGATAGGAAGGACCAAGGTGTTGTTGTAATTTTTTCCGAAACGTCGGTTGCAACACGTACGTACAATTCTCTTCTCGACAAACCGCTTCACAACCATGTTTTTCTCCTTTTTCTCGCATGTGTGTCTACCCCGATGTTTGCCACTATCTACTTGCGTTGTACGTCTCGTCCTCGAACGGACTTATTTTCTCACTTCGTTACAACCTTCCCCTCCCCACACATACGCATGCACAATAACGAAGGGGCAAGAATGATCTTCGCATTTCGATCTTGTTTTCTTTCATTTTTCTTGCGATAGGTCGCTGTTCTTATATCTTCACGGGGCTACACTTGGCTATCATATTGGCTGGCTTGGGCGAGACCGTCGCGAATCACTGTATGCCTCTTGACGTATTCTCCTCGGATAAACGAAACAACGTATCCGCGTGTTTCGCGTTGAATTTCGAATGTTCGGTATTCCAAACGGAATTTACAAATTCCAAATATGCCACAAGACGAGCGTTCGCTATAAAATTTTTCTTTTTTTTTTTTTTTTTGAAAGCAACTCGTATTCGGCAATTTGTTTCCGAATATCTCGGGAAAAGTTCGGAATAACCGGAGATCTTTCGGCGTAAATAGAAACGTGGATATCGAGCGAACGTTTAACGAACTGCTCCCCCCCCCCCCTGTGTACGCCAAGCGTATGCATACATGAACGCGCAACAGCCTCGCCCGTTGGGCATCCTAGATTCGGACCGGTTGCGTTTTCATCTCTGTACTCTTTTCTGTTTCCTTGTTACACAGTTATATGGTTTCCTCTCGAAGTGTGACGGTATAGGAGAAGATATACATTTAACTACCTACGGTTCTACCGGTAAAGAGAAGAAGAAGAAGTAGTAGTAGTAGTTGTAGTTGATGAAATGGAGGAGCAGAAAAAAGAGAGAATGTCGGAGGAGGGGGACGGTGGGCCTGAATATTCGGTCAAACCTGACAAACCGTTCGGCCCCCGTCTCTCGCGCGCATCGATTTCTCTCTTTTTCCCTTTCTCGGCTCGGTGTTTACGTGTATTTTACCCGTTTCATTCCTTGCAGGGACTTTTCCTTCGTTCCTGTCTGTTCGAACGTGAAACATTGTTTTCTTTTCTTTCTCTTTTTTTTTCTTTTTTCTTTTTTTTCTTTGCGAGAAGCAGCGCTGCGCTTTCGCAACACTAATCCCTTTCCTTGCATCGCAGCTACTTTCTCGTATGTATGCGTGTGTGTGTTTCCGTGTGTGTATGTGTGTCTGTGAGTCTGTGCGACGAGCTAGTGTGCTCGCGCACGTGCAACACGTGTGCACGCGTTATTTTTTCCCTCTTTGTTCCGCGTGTATGCGTATGGATGATGTTGCGTGCGCGTGTCGGTTTCTCATTTTCGATATATCTCGCGTTTGTTTGTGTGTGTGTGTGTGTGTGTGTATGTGTGTTTTTTTTTTCTTTTTTTAGCAGTACCTAATGGAATGGGGGTAGAGGCAGACGACGCTTTGCTTGACGAAGGACCACAGAGTTTGCCAGCCATGCGTCTGTGAACATTTTCGTAACTTCCGGTCAAGAGATTCACGTGAGAAGAGGGTGTTTTTTCATACATATATACATTATACATTTCTTTATTATTGTTTTTTTTTCTCTTTACGCTTTTTCCCCCCCTTCCTTTTTATTTCTCTCTGTTCATTTTCGATCCCGAGTTATTTCTGCATACGAGTTTTTTAGCGGATACCAGAGCAATTAAGGGGCTCGGTGGTTCGTTGTTGCTCAGCGTTGGGGAAGGGTGGAGCTGCGATTTTTCTTTTTTTTCTTTTTTTTTCATTTTTTCCGTTCGGCCGCCGTCGTGAAAAAATATTCGGCAAACAAGCTCGCGGCGAAATCGCGCTCGTTTTTGATGGCAGCTTCACGCTAACGCTTTCCCAACGTTGCTTCTCCACTACGGTAGAAAAAAATCGTGACTCATCGACGCATGGAAGTGTTCAACCTCGAACAAATGCTAACATTTTTCTCTTCTCTCTTTTTCTTCTTTTTTCAATGGCAGACAAATCGTTAGAATACATCGCGTGACATGTAGACAATAAATTCATTGTACTTAGCTAGGCTAGATTTTCTTGTGAAATGGTACGTATGATGCCTCGATGCGTGATCGAACGGATTCGATCATAACGGAAAAGAGAAAAAAAGACAGATGATGTACCAAAACGAAGAAATTTCATGCATCGATCAGTCACGACACTCATCGATTCCAATGGTATGCGTCTGTTGTAAAAGATATAACTGATATAACTGAAAAAAAATCCCTTTCCCAGCCAGACAATACGATCGTTTCGATCGATTGGCGAGGCGCGTTTGAAAACGTAGCCCCGACCAATCGCGGACGAACGAAAATCTGGCTTGTCAGTCAAATCGTTCTTTGTAATTAGAAGCGTCGCAATATCGTGTTGTTTGCGACGACAATGATTATTCGACACCCGAAACACCGTACGATATCAAACGGAACAGAGAACGAAACAAGATAGAAACAAACCCGTGAAAAAAAGAATGCATGTATATATGTGGTATATATATCGCGAAAGAGAATATCAGCGATCACGTTCCTCGTAGAAAAATAAAAAGAAGAAAATTAGAGAGGCCGATCCGACGAATAACGCCGCGTATATGTAATAGCGATATTTAATGTATCGATCATAATGGCGAGTTCATCTTCGCCGTAGAAATAACTAATGTTCGTTCGACGACTTATATACGGTCCGTATTTCAACAAATATGAACAACATTAATTTACATAGCTCCCTTTGTATATATATATATATATATATATATATATTTATATTTATACTTATATTTATATTTATATTCATATTTATATTTATATTTATATTTATATTTATATTCATATTTATATTTATATTTATATTTATATTTATATTTATATTTATATAATTCTTTCTCTTATTTATATGAATCGTGTATATATAATATATTCTTCTGTATGTATTATGTATAAGTATGTATAATTCCACGAGCACGTGCTTCAGTGTGCATGCATGGATAGCGAACACCAGCGCGCCGTTAAGTTATCGTTATGACCGTACACACCGGTAGCAACCCTATTTACAGTTCAACGCGTTTTGCAAACTACTACGATTGGTCTCAATCGTTGATTAACGTTTTCTTAACATGTTTCAAACGAACGCTGCACGAATTATCCCAGCATCGTTACCGTAACGTCGGAAATATCAAAAATTCGACCAGTTAATTAATTTCAACATCACACGTTCGCGCGATCATTTCCAAGTGTATAATGCCGGTAGTCACCGAACGACCACCGCAACCAGTCAACGATGTTAACGATTATTTTGCAAATGAAAAGTACTACAGATCAATCTGTCCACTCGATGTTTCCAAAACGTGCAAACAAGTACCAGTTTCAAAAAAAAAAAAAAAAAAAAAACCCCGACGGGGAAAAAAGCTGGAAAAAAAATTCCGTTACACGGACAGCTTCTCTCAAATTTGCGCGCTTTGCGGACCCGTCCAATGCGCCCACACACGTGCAAACGTGTGTACGTACACGCCAGTCCGAAAGCGGTTCACGTCGCGTCGACGACATGCACAGCCGCGTGCAGCGCGCGACCACGACCGCTTTCCGACCACCCTCGCCTATTCGTGCAATCCCGAACGCACATGTACCGAACACGTACGAAGACGAGATTCCGTTTGTTCTCGGAAACGAGCGGAGGAGCCGACGCGTGTATGCAGGCGCGCTCGCGCGCACTATGACGACGACGACGACGACGACACACGCTGGGAAATCCACGGAACGGCACGTGTCGCGTGTAAGCTTCGGATACTTGGGATTCTTAGCGCGATCCCGAGCCCTTCCCCCGGATTTCGAACGCTTCGTTTGCTACGAGAGCTACGTCGCGCAATATGTGCAACGATGTCCGGCCTGCTGCTGTGGATGTGTGTACGGCGTGTACGCGTGTACGGTATACAGTGGCACGAGGGCGTGCAACCCTTTAGAAAACGCACGACACGGTGCGACGTTGCGGGAAGAACTGAGTAACGGACTGGATTCGCAAGAGTTCACCCTCTCGCGAGTGGTATATGTATATACGTAACAGGGAACGCCTTCGACGAAAATCGTGGATGGTTTCTGTGTCGCCACGATGCTTCAATTAGGGCAGACTTGTCGTTCGAAGGAGGTATCGATTCCATTCTTTCTTTGCTTCCTCGCGAGTTTATATTCGATATGTGAATAAAAGCATCGTTTTTAAAAGGAGCGGATGTGAAGATTCTGTGGAACGTATAAAAGGAGGAATCTTTAAAGGAAATTTTGAAAGAAATTGAAGAAAATATCAACGGAGAAAGTGTGATAAGTTTACTTTACTTATTTTTTGTTTACTTTCTGATTGATAGAAGTAATTATTTTAATACGAAATACTATTTTTCACGCTTACTTGAATTAAAGTACGCAACGTGAAATGAAATATCGTTTCATTTATTTATAATATTCTTCACGATAATTTGAGGCGTGAAAGAACTTTACAGGAGACAATACAAAGTGAAATGAGACGAGTTGGTCAACAGATTGAAATATTAACGGCACATCGAACTTGAAAATTGCCCTGCGTAAGACGTGACTTATCACAATTTCCACCTTCGAGGAATAAAAATGAAAAAAAAACAAAAAAAAAAACAAAAACAAAGGAAGAAGCGTAGCGCCGAAACGCGCGTGCGAATTGCACCTCGGATCGAACCTTACCGCGAGATCGCTGGTAACCGAGGCTCGATACCTAAACGAACGATCCCAGGTGAGAACGGGAGAAAGAGAGGAAAAAGAGGTTACGACTGTAACGAACGGACCGCGTCGCTCGAGGGCTGATACGAACGGCGGGGGGTGTAGAGCGCCACAATAACCCCCGGCCACCATCAGCGCAGCGCCCGTTCCCTCCTTGCGCGCCAACCATGGTAACGGTAACCGACGATTTATTGCGTGGCGCAACGAGCGCGCACGGTAACACGTTACGGTAATGACTGTGAAATACGACGGTGCACCTCTCCTCTACCGTGCAACCCTCTAACTCCCCCCCTGGAACTATTGCCCCGCTACGGTTCCACGGCCAGACTCCCCCAATGAAAGGACGCCACACTTCGATACCACGCACACGTGGCGTGTGCACGCGTACACTGATCGTGCATCGAACCGTCGGAGAAATATCGCCGGGGGTTGAAAGAGTGTTCTCGGAGAAACCTCATCGATCGTCCGGGCGACTACTTGTCAACGACTGCTGCGCGATATCGGCCGGCGCGGCACTATGGTAAATAATGCACGCGTGCAGGTGTCAATTTGGAGGGTATTGCCTGTTAAGTCGCGAAGAATGTCCGGTGGAAGTGTATCGGGGCTGGACAGAGTGGAAATTGTAATTGGTTTATATTTTGGTGTTTCGTGCGAGGAAGATTGTGGTTTGGGTTTGCATTATATATATATATATATATATATAGAGTTTTCGAGTGGATACAATTGATGTTTCATAGAGGATTGCAATGAAGTACCTATGTACGTATTTATGTTAGGTTTGAGATGGTATTGACGTGCCACGTCCCGATACACTCCTTAAGATGTTTCATTGAAGGAATGTAATTGATTTGGAAATTGTAATTGATTAATATTTTGGTCTTTTTTATAAGGAAGATGCTGATTCGAAGAATAATAGTTTGTTGGGGTGTTTCTTGGAATAATTGATTTTTTCGTAGTAAACTTTGCGAATTAACGTAATTAGTTGTTTATATAGAGGAAACGTATGAATGTGTTTTGGATAATCAATTACGACAATAAATAGTTTAAATATGTAATTACACTCATCTTTAAGAAGAATTACACTTCCAGACAAATGTGTTATATCGTTTTTGCCCATATGTCACTCGTAATAAATAATTAAGGAAATTTTAAAACATTTTGTGATAGTATTTTGAATATAATCTGTGCCGATAAAAAGATATTGCTACGGTAAATATTCCTAATGTACGAATATAAACTGAACACGAGTATATTTTATGCTAAATAAAGTTGCGCAATTAATGAAATTCACTCGTGATTCGCGGAATATATATATATATATACAGTTCGAAAAATATATACGAAAAGCGAAGAAATAAGTTACGAATGGAGAGAAACAACGTATGACGATTATTTCACGAAAAGAAAAAAAAACAGGGTATAATGTTGTCTTCGAATGTCGAATGTTTGAAAAGAAATAAGAATGGGCACGCTCTGATAAGCAGCACGATGCAACATTTTGCGGCTTAACGTTCTGTATCTCGTTTATTTAACGAATGGCTATGGCCATTAATTTGCTGCTAGCCGCTGAAAGCGGAAATTTCAATTAGCGCTAAAATTATAAGAATTAGGTTAATACGTGTTCAAAATTGAAACCGATTTACTTGAAATTTAATCAACCTTCGACGACTTTTCGCATTGCGTCGCGTGATGAATATTTACTCAAGGCAAATATAAAATGGCCACCCATTAACTACATTTGCAATTATACCAGTGAGAAAGGAAAATATTAAAATTATTATTATTAAAAAAAAAAAAAAAGAAGACTAGGAGCCCTTTCCAATTGAAATAAACAACGTGACCTCACAAATTAATTTTATTGCAAGTAAAAACAGGGGTAACAGAAAAGAGAAGAACGCATTAAAAGAAAACGTACGAATGTCTGAAAGAACAACAGTTGTATTCTCAACATGGTGTACATAATTCAAACAATAAATAAGATAACAAAAGTACGCAATCGGTGTACAATATTGCCGGTGACATTCACGGCGTATACCTTCGAGATTACCTCGCATTCAGACTCCTCTCGCGTCGCGGCAACGTCAAGGAAACTACATATACATGTATATCCAACAGCAGTCGGTTTCTCGCACGTGCAAAGAAGAAAAGGAGAAAGAGAAGAATGACTTCGACAGTTTAGAATAGGCGATAGAGAGAAAGCCAGTGACAAAGAACGAAAGAGAGTCGAGGGAGAAAAGAGGAAGAAAGTACACAGTGAGGGTGTACCGACTTATTTCTGTGTCTTATAAGATCCCGCATCCAAAGTTCATCGAAGTCACAAGATGACAGGTTCGCGTTCGAGAGACTTCCTTCAAGATTGCCTCGGGCATGCAAAGGTGAAAAGAGAGAAGGAAACTCGTTATCACGATTACGTTCGGGGGAAGAAAAGTGGTCGTTATGTCTGTCCAGTATCGATCCTACGAGAAAGCTCGATGAAACCGCGCGTGTGCACGTGTGTGTGTGTGTGTGTGTGTGTGTGTGTGTGTGTGTGTGTGTGTGTCACGTCACCACAGTCGAAGGGAGCGAGGCATTGAAAGAGACGGTCGACGTCAAAGGGGAACCGGATCTTGTCGCAACTCGAACGAAGAAACCAGCTGTCCATATTCACGAGTTTCTCCCTGTCACCCTCTTTCTCGCACACGATCTAATTGGTGTTATTACACGTTACGCAACACACAACGTACCGATGAATTGTATACGTACTGCATTGCTGTTTCGATAAGAAGAAATAAGATGGAGTCTACGCTATCCACCGTTTGAAGTACCGTGCACACGATCCTTTCTTTTATCCATTCCCGCCCCTTTCACGCGTCTTGTCATCGCAAGATAATCACCGGCACGGTCTTGTCATTGCGCAACACGCATTCCGATCTACATGTTTCCCCCTAACGATTCTCGTACAGTGCACACGCTCTCTCGCACACGTTTCACGCCCTTTTGCATCGGGTCCGCTCATTGTTCGGGAATGATTCTGTACTCTGTGGAGAAGCTGTGTAGCGACGTGTCTCCGGCTGATAGGAGCGGTAATCCCAAGGCACCTGAAAGTACCACCAACCCCCGTCTGAGTCCCCTGAGTCTCACTGGGCTCTGAGTCACACAGGTTTTAGCTTTTTTTCTTTCCTTTTCAAATTCAAATCTTCTCTTGCCAAGCAAATTGATTTTTCTCTCGCGCGCAGCAACAACAGTCTCTCCTCTCAACAAACAATCTTCCTCCCTTTCTCTCCGGTGCGTTTAGGTTAGGAACAATCGCAACATCGCACACGTTCCGGTTTCTCTGGTAAACAGGGCAAGTTTTCAGGAAATTGCTCGACATCTGGCACGCAGACACACCGCAAGGTGACAAAACTAGAGGTTAGACGCGACTGGCACGTCGTTACGGAGAAACTGCGAGCACGGTGTCCCATGTGTTTGCTTATTCGCTCGGTGGGATTCGATCGCGAACGCGACAACCTCGCCTGGCGTATACCGAGCCCGTCGGAGAAACGTAATAGTTTCTAGTGGCCGGTCCTGGCGAATTATTCCCGCGTCGCTGAATTAGCCAAAGTTTCGAACGTTCGCCAGGGTTATTGGTTTGCCGGGTTGCAGAGTTCAAACGTTTCTGCGATTAGAACGATTACACGGGTATGATATATAATAAAATTTACTATTTCGTTGTTCGCAAAAGGAGTCGATGTTTCGTATTGAAAGCTGCTGTCTTGGTCTTTCACGATCTAAGTGATGGTATAGCAAGAGAGTTCAATAAATAAAGGATTATAGACTTTAGAATTCATACAATGTATCCGTTGATTATTTCGTTGTTAAATGAATCACCGTGTCAGTTTGACGACGATGTACAGTGCAGTGTCACACTATGGCAGTGTCTGTTAATATCAAACGTGTATTCAACCCTTTGCGGTCCACGTAATAATTTTCAAAATCTAGATTAGCAGATTTCATACTAAGTATATTCGCGATGTTTTTCTGAAATACTGAAAAATGATTCGAAATTGTTTCATTATTCTTTTTTTTATTACAAAGGCTGGCATTGATTTATATAACGCAAAGAAACGTCAAATATACTTGCTGTACTAAAGTATAACAGAGAATTGCAAATTCACATTTTTGTGAGACTAATTAGAACCCCGAGAAAGGTTTACTTCGTCTATTAGATATTACGATAAATATTCTGGATATTGAACACCTTTCAATTCTTTTCTACCTTTGAGTTTTCCAAAAGAATTATATAAATTTAATATAATCAAAGGCCTAAGCCAAAACTGTGGCCATGGCAAAACTCGTATTGACTCGTATTTTAATAAACGCCAACATTGGAAACTAGTCCATCAGTCGATGTATCTCGTCACATTAAAATTTCTCGGCCGGAGAGACAAAGAACTGGCACGTGGAAACCTTTTAATCTTCCTTGATGGATCGAGTACGTCGAACGAGCGGAGCGAGTTCCGTCGCGAGCGATTTCACGTGAAATCACCAACACCAACCGACCTCCGACCCTCCAAGAGAAATCTATATCGTCTAACGCGGGTCTAAGTGCTCGTCGAACGAGAATTTCACTCGAATGCAAATACCGACGCGTGGATTCGATCTCACCCGGAGAAATATCCTCTCCAAGCATGGAGGAAATTCGTTTTCGCGTATCGCTGCCGACCCTCTTTTTCATATTCGACGAGAGAAAGAGAGAGAAAGAGAAAGAACGAGAAAAAAAGAGAGAGAGAGAGGGTGGCTTCGCCGACGAATGTTTTTCGGACGTTGGGAATATACGGACGGCTTTAAGGCGGGTGGGTTTTCGTTCGCCAGTGATCAATCATCGTTGGCTGTTATTCGCAATCTTTTTTTTTTTTCTCTCTTCCTTCTACCGCCATGCCTCGTGAACCATACGCAAAAATACGCGAGAGAAAGCGTGGGAGGAAAGGAAAGGGGAATAGCCGAGGGAAGGGGATGTTCGTGATCGCACGAATCGTTCCTCTTCCTGGATCGGCAGGTTATTCAAATGCGTTAAATAGGCAGGCGACCAGGGAAATTGGAAGCGATTCCGGGAAGCATCGGGACACACGGTCTCTGGAGGAAAGTAAAAATATGCCGATTTCTTCCTTTCTTCTTCTTTCTTTTTTTCGAAACGGCCAGGGGAAAGAAAGACAGGGAGGGATGATTCTGAGGGATGTGCCAACGTCCGAAAAACATTATGCATTATTTATGAGCTCTCTTTCTGCCCATTCACGCGAATTGTGCTTGGAATCGATGTACTTTGAAGAGGAAGATATAATACACAGATGTCTGTACACAGAAATATCGAGTTAACGGTTCGAATCGGAAAAGAGAATTCAAGATTACGTTCGCGTTATACACGTTGCTCCAGTGGATATATACACACACGACGTTTCTTTTCTCAACGTAGCAGCGTCTACGTCTGTCTCCTGGCCGCTAATTTACGCCCGGTCGACGTGCATGGGACACCTGTCGCAGTTTGTCCGCCTCTATTGGCGTTATAAGTTGCCGCTTTGCTACTTTCGTGCCATGCTTAACACAAAGGGGGTAGCATCACGAGTTGGGGGACGAGAGGGGGTGGATCAGACACAGAGCGCGGGAACGAAGAAGTTGGAAACTTTTCTCCCTTGAAATTCTCTTCGTCGAGCAGCAAAAAAAAAAAGGGGGAAGATCAGTCAGAGAAAGAGAGAGAAAGACAGAATAACAGCGTGAAAGAGAGAGAGAGAGAGAGAGAGAGAGAGAGAGAGAGAGAGAGAGAGAGAAAGTGAGTGAGCGAGAGACAGAGAGATGGTTTTCGCGGAGAAAGACGAGCAAGACAGACAAATGGCTAGAAATGGACAAAATAGAAGGGAACAAATGGGGCTAGTAAGACGTGTAAGTGCAAGAGGGCAAGAGGGTGACGTAGTTACGGGAATCGAAAGAAGCTTCCTCGAGGCTGATGTTACGTCTGCGAAAGCCCATCGTAAAAAGGACGTGATTAGTGTGGTGTACATCTTTCTGTTTGCGCGTAGATCCGTTGTACTTAGTAGCTCGCGAACGCGGTCGTTTCAACACTTATTTAGTAGCTCATTGAACGCAACAATCGTTTCGACGCAACGCACGACAAGCGTTCGATAAACAGTGTATGTGTGTGTGTGTGTGTGCCGATTAAATTAAGAGTAACGAAAATACGATAACGAGACTGCAAACGTACGGCAGAGAGAAATAATTAACGAATAAAATAAAAATCCGCTGGAACGGTGATAGAACGAAGGGGAAGGTATAGAACGAGGTAGCAAATCGATGGGAATAGTCGATGACCGCTTTAAATTCTCGAGGGTCGTTTTCGCGTCTCGCGAGCCGATCGAAGCCGAACAATAAGCGCTACAATTCCCCCGGCTCTGCTGCGAAATTCCGAGTTCGATGGAGCGCTGGCCGGCTACCGGCGGGAGGGAAACGACACAGGTTGGGAAACTCCATTTTGGTCCTTCTTCCCCCGGCCGATAGCGCCGGTGCTGCGGATTTTCATTTCGAGTCCCGAATTCAACATGAAGGGCGCTTGACCCCGAAAACTTTGCCCGCAACTACCTCCAATCAACCGGTTCGATTTAGATCAGCCGATACGCCCGACCTATGGACGCGTTCATTTTCCAAACGTTTCCTATTAATTGCTCTAGCCAGCGTTTGTGTATATCTATGCGTGCAGGGTCAACCACGATGCGGTTCGCTCGCATATCGTTCGCAATCGATACGCCACTACCCCGGCTTACCCCTCCGCGTAATATTAACAATGACATTTCACCCCCCGTTCCACGACCGCACGATTAATCTTAAATTACGATCGATCCGACGAGCCAGTCGATTTAAACTAACGTAGCAATTGAAATTCGACAACGCCGTGTTCTCGTACGAAGTCGCGTATCGAAGGGACGAGATATATATCGGGTCTCGGACCCGATCCGCATGCATGGATGATTTCCAGCGGAATCGTATCGCGTAAATTAAGGTTAGCCAGTTAATAACGATCGAGTTATTACAATTTATTTACTAGCAGAGGATAGTATTCGTATTGTGGCCGTTCTTTTAACTAATTCGTTGAAATTTTCATTTTGCTCGTTGGCCGCCCGCCTCCATGAGGTTCGTCTAACCTGATCGATCTGATTGGACGTACGCTTTAACGGTTTTTACTGTAAGGGGTAGAAAGAGAGAGAGAGAGAGAGAGAGAGGGAAGGAGATAGAGAAGGTAATTGAAATTGATTAATCGATTAGCAGAAGCAATTTTAAAGCGTTTCGCGGAATGCAAAGCCTTGATGCTCTGAAAGAAAATTCCATACCAACGGAGCTGTTTGTTATTGACAGTCGAAGGCACGCGAGGTGCTAGCGAACGCAGACGGTAAGAAACACAGGGTTGGTTTAACGACGTAACTTTTCCCATACATCAGCCTCTCATTATCTTGTCCTAGTTCGCCGGAATTGAATTTTCCCTCCCCCCCTTTTTTCGATCTACATTTTTACCGCGGCATCTTCGCGCGAGAATACGAGTTGCGTTACGTCTTGCGGAACTTGCAATGCAAAGTGTGATTGGGTAATCAACCGTATCTTGAAAGTACAAATATATTTCACTTTGATTTAAGCGAATCTAGAAATATATTCTGCGGAATTTTAAAAAATAAGAGCGAATTTGATGTATACATTCATTGATAATTATTGGATAAATACACTCGTTAAATATATGATTTCCATAGCTTAAATTTTCCAGCATAAGGTTTTGCGAAACTTATCACATAAATCGCTCAGTGACGAGGCTACAAGTGTTTCTTCGTCAATTAAGATTAAAATCAATCGTGTCCAATGTGGATTACACTCTGACGTATCGCAAGCGTTGCAGCTGGTTTCTTCACGGATCGTATGAAAAATAATAAAATATCAATGCGTCATCTGATCCACGAAGAAATGATTAACGTTAAACAAACGTTAGAATGTAATTCCTACTAGACACAGATTACACCCAAACGTTTCGAATTTTAATAAACAAATACACACCGCAATGAGTAAGAAAGTCGTAAATCGTCGGAAGACGAATCGATCGTTTTTTAAAATGTCTCGCCGCGATGAGCACGGAACGGGGTAGAAAATTGGCTAGAGAATCGCCACCTCCTTGAGAATCGCCTGAATTATCTCAAATCTTAAACTCGACAAGATAATATCGATACGATAATTTATAGCGACTTTTGTACAACGTTCATCACTCTCTTCGTATCGAGTGAAGACCGGTTGCCCGGTGCTCCGGCGAATCGAAACTTCGTCCCGGAAGTGGAGGATCGCCGCAGTCCGAGCAAACGTTGCTGAATAATATACAACGTCCTTCGCGTTGGACGTACAGAGCGCACAACCGTATCGTTCCCGATAGAACGTCGGTCTGTGACGCAACATTGCATCACTTAATTCGCCGTGTCCTGTCGCCGAGAACGGAAGTCCGTCGCGAGAACGGATTTTCCGATATCTTTCCGTGTCTGAACACAGGCCGCCTGATCGAAACGATACGTTTCCCGTCTAAAGTGCGAGCAGAATCGACGAAACACGCGTCGATCTTCTCAACACATTGCGAATGGCCGATAAGGTCTCGATTTCGCATTTCGTCTCGCGTATCTAGAGGCCATGAGGCGTTCGAGACAAAACGAAAAAATAAAAAGAGAATACACGGCAATGAGTGAAATTAGCGAGAAAACGCCCGATTCAACACAATGTGTTCATAGAAAAATCGATCGTCTTCTCGTCTTCCGCGTGTCATCGAGGTTCACGTCGATGGTTACTTCGAAGAAGCACTTGGAAATCCCGTATCGAGATTAACCAATCGTTCGAAATTCGTCTAGCTGTGAAATCTAACGGTGAACTCGAGCGCTCGTGGAGTCCATTGTTCTCGGAAACGAATTTCGACCGAGAGCCGGCGCGACACCGACGGTCCCGCAACAAAGGCTCCGTGCTGCCTCTCGAGACCTTTGTGCGCACGAGATCTGGTAACGTGCCCTTTCCTTCGAACCGAGGCTAATTTCTGACGTTGTTACCCCCCACGTCTTGATTTCCCGACACCCACGTGTAACCCGCTCGATTCTCGTACTTATAAGTCGACGACGACGACGACGACGACGAGTAGCGCCAGCGAGAGCACAGTTAGTAAAATGGTGTAGCAATGGGGATGAGTTCTCCTTTCTTTCTTTCTTTGTTTTTTCTTCTTCCTTTTTACGTTTTCTTTGTTTTGGTTAGAGATATGTGCGCATAGCTCGATGTCGAGATTAGTTATTAGACACGTTATACAATTAGTTAGTTCACAGAGGCATGGCGTTGTAGAGGTCCAAATTGGGATGGTAGAAGAGCGGTGTGGGGGTAGGCGGATTATGATGTGGGGCAGGCTGCGCCTGTATCAGGTTCAAGTTCAGATTCAAGGGCGCGATGTGGGCCGCATTATGGTGGTTAAGGTGGTTAAGGCTAAGGTGGTTACCTGTCGGGTAGGGCAGTCCGAAACTAGGGTACCCAGAATAGCCGCGGCTTGCCGCGTATGCCGCGTACGCCGCCGCTGGGAAACCTGTGAACAGAGAAAAACAATCTGTCAGATTTCCAGTCCCGTCCGCTTGCTTCTCTCGAAGCGCTCGGAGAACTTTCGTGGAGCGGGGTGGCGAGCGTTATGGAGCGTGTTCGACCGACTCGTGACGATGCGTGTGAATGCGTGTGTGAATACGTTGCTAATACCGGGTTGTGCAGTCTTTAATCCGACCTATTCTGATTTATTAGCAAAACATGAGGGTTAGTACTCGTTATCTCTAATCTCGAAGCTGTCAATCAGAATTCTCGTACAAGCGCGCAGTGTTGTTTGTTAACTTTTCAATTAACAACGTGGGGTAGTATCGTTACCTGTGATGTTTCATTTAACACGTTACTCGACACACTCGCTTTCGTCATGAATGTATAATTATTTAACTTCACACAAATATTCAAGTGCTATTAACTTTGAGTATAAATATCTGAAATATCTTGAATAGCATCGTTGATAAAAATTTAGGATCAAATTAGTGAATTTTGGGATTTAATTTTCATCGCTAATATCTATCACGGACGTTGTAAAATACAAAGTAAAATTAAATGTAAAACACTACAGTCATCTACTACCTAACGATACCATTTGAAGTTTAATCTGATTTCAAAGAGTTTCCTTTTATCATTTGGTAACCATACTGTCAAGGGTTTTCTAACTTGTATTAATCATGACATTATAGTACAAAGATCGAAGAGTGTGGTTTAATATCAGTTATGTATCTATCTACAAATACGTTTGTCTATCAACTACCATCTACATGCTCCCTTCCCTGTAAAGTGTACATTATATAAAATATTTCCCATGTACGTACCGTGTTACTCTACGGAACATTTTCGATTGAAAACGCTACGAAATTACTGGCGAAACGATTTCCACAAAACAAGAGATCCTTACGCGTTCGTTTTTCATATGATATTCGATTTAATTTCAAGTGAAATCAATGCATCGGGCATACTCCAATGGGGCAGACACGATGTAACATCGAATGACGCGTGACGAGGAGTTACGAATTAACCGAGTAATTACGTTAATGAACTACGATTGTATTTTCACAAAGGCGATGCTCTGCCCGCAAAGCGAAACGACCGAAACGATTTTTATCTATAAAACAGGAGGCGGAATCGTGCACGCGACACGAAACGAGAAAGCTCGCGGCGGAATACGAGATTCCGATTCACTCGTTCGTGATTGATCGACGCGTGAATATTACAACGACGGTCTTACGTCAAACGTGATTGAACGTCGTTACGGAATGGTAAGCATGTCACTGGACGTCGGAGTCGTTTTGTTGTTACGTGTTCGTGCATATTTCAATACTCACCATCAGGTAATGCTCCCAGGGACCACATAAAATCTATAAGGAAAAACAGATCACATTAATACCGATTACTGAGATTGATCGAGTATCGGGTAAAGAAAAATTTCTCTTTTCTCTTTTTCACATCGTCATTCTTTTCCCTTCATTTGCTCAGTTCAATTGCTTCGATTAGTCAGTGCAAATGGTAATCGTAAGTCTGAACGTAGAAATTTCTGCAACCAAGCACGAAGAAAAGTACTGGGCGATCGATTCACGTCTAAGGAGAAAAATAAAATAATCGGATGATGAATCTAAGAAGAGAAAAAAAAAAAAAAAGAAAAAGAAAAGGCGACGTGGTTTTGTGAGTCACGCGAGGACTATGATGAGGACTATCGTGAACTTTAATTCACGAGCGTCTAACTGATGAACGTTTTCATGGTTGTGCAATAATTTTCTTCGTGCAGGCGAAGGTAATGCGTAGACAATTAAGATATGTACATGGAGACAAGTTAAGTATAAAGCGAAGCGTTGCAGAAATTCGTCGGTATAGACGGTTCGAGTGTAACGGATGACTAGGTGTTTCAAACAGTGAGAGAAGGGTAAAAAAAAAGAAGTAATGATCCAAACAAAAAATGAAAAAAAAAAAGAAACGAAATTAGAAAGTAAAATAGATTGAAACGAGAAATCGGATTAAAAGCGTTCTAGGTTAAACAGAGAGTAGGAGATATAACAAAGAAGTAGATAGACAGATAGAGATAGACAGAGAAAGACAGAGAGAAATAGTATGGAGTATACAGAGAAAGTATATAGAAAGAGAGAGTTAGAGAGAGAAAGAGAGAGAGAGAGAGAGAGAGAGAAAGGCATCCATGAAATTTCATAATTTGATACTAATTGAAAAGACCACACAACTAAGTTTCTGACTATTTATAAATATGTATATCGCATCGACTATATAGCGCATCGACTAAATTCTGTGACAAGGTACTAGTAACTACGCGCGGCCGAGGTGTTTCCAATTCTACGACAAAATAAACCCTCCTATGATCTATGGTTATTGTAGCCTTGAAGGTATTGGTTAATCATTTACCGTTAAGTAATATTTGCTAGGCTGACTATATAGCTTATTAGATATAGACTAAGGGCAGATAATGTGTCGTGCGATCGCGAGGAAGACATAGCGTTGAAATAAATCTGTAAGTTTTCTCAATTACGAATGATCATTACGATAAAAAATATTGTGCACCGATGCTCAAAAATTTCGAGTATCTTTCACTTTCTTTTGACAAGACCAATTTCTTCGGGGAAGTAGAAATATCACAATTTCAACTCTGACTTTTAAAATCTCTCAATCCATAAAAATGTAATAATTATAAATCAAATATTTATTTTCAAACCTCAGCACGTTCCAAATTTTTGAGCGTTTATATATATCACAAAATTTCGTATTCGAAGAAGTATGGAAAATAGAAACTCGAAGTTTTTAATTGTCCGATGTGCTTCGTTCGTACAAAGCGCGTGACACATTATCGACTCCACTACCACACTTAGATCGACGATACAATATTGAAAAAAAACACCGACCACAATACTACACTACTGTTTCACTATTCTAGTGTCCATATTGACGCTGCTCTCACAATATACGCAGATGGAAAAAGTATAAGAGCATTTATTCTAGCCATTAAAAGATACACTGATACATATTAATAGTATTAGTGATTTCGTACCTAAAGTCTCTCTACCGGGCTGGTTTTGATTACGTCAAGCACGCAACACAATTTTATATATCGTTTCAGTGCGACATCGTTCTTTTTTTTTTTCCGTTTCGTTCTTTTCTTTCGTACTTTTTCTCTGTTCTCTTTTTTCCATTTCTTTCTTTTCCGTTTCTTTACTGACTCATTTCTCTCTTTGATCAAATGAAAAAAAAAACTTCGCATGTGCTTCGAACATTATCTCGTGTTTATTTAAATACCATTCACTTTACTGTCATATAGATGGAGATATTGATTCACGTCGTGCAATACGTAAATGCATTCGAATATTAGACATGTACGTGTATATATAATATTTATGTATATATATATATTTATTTATTTATATAAATATCTGTAATATGTATACGCGTATTTTATTTTTGTATTATACTTGACAATCGGAGCGACTTCGTTATTATATGCGATAATACGTTTACGTATAGAATATAATATTGATAATACAGAATGTACGTGTACTTTCTCAGATGCAACAAATCGATTTCACGTATAAAGCAGACGTTTACGTACGACACTAACGTTAATAGTCTCTCTTACAGTTTCGAGGAGCGTGTAAAGCTCATTCCGGTCGAGTTTTACGACGGAGTTTGCCGGCCGATTAACATTTACGTTCCACCGATAGGTTTGCCAACATGGAATCCCATTGAGTTACTCGTTTCGAATTTTATAGTTATTTCTTCCATCCTTTTTTCGATGCTCGATGTTTCTCAAGAGAAAGAGATAGATAGATAGATAGACAGAGAGAGAGAGAGAGAGAGAGAGACATACATATACGTATATATAATAACACGGAATGTTGTGTAAGAAACGTTGTTCGCCGAGGAACGCAAAACAATTCGTCCTCTTTCTTTTCCTTTCTTCTCATTTTCTTCTCCTTTGTTTCTCTTTTCTTTTCTTCTTTTATTGTTCCTTTCTGGTCTCTTTGTTCTCTTTTCAATTTCGTTCGTACTTGCGTAATGCGCGCCCATAAAACGTTCTTACGGGGAAGGAAATAGTGACGCACATTTTTCTAATTGGATTCTCTGTTCTAGACAAAGAAGGCGCAACGCTACCGTTCCCCGCGTGGTGATAACAAAATCAAAATCCGGCCCAACAAAAGCATTACAAAAGGTGTGAACAGAAAGATAAACCGCATGTTAAGATCTGGTCTACTTACGAAACTGACACTGTTGAGCCTCTCGGGCAAAGTACGTACTTTCTAGGACACACGTCTCACGCATTATTATTAAGGTAAATGATGCTATACAGCTTAGAAGAGTTAAATACTATGTAACGAGTAATAGAGGGTTTTTCGAGGGACTGGGGGAGGGTTGTAGGTGACTGGGATTGACGGGGTTGGTTTCTTTTTTTTCTGTTTGTAAGGTATAGGTGTAGACGGGTATACGCACGATATATATTTAGTATATATCCTATAGAGAGGTATAATATTACGTGTAACGTAATATAAACGTACTATGTAAACGTAGCTTGTTAAGTAATAGGTACATTGTAATAGGTCTCTTTGAAGCCGCTGATAATATGCATTCTTCGTGGAAGACCGTTTCTCTTTCTTTCTCCTTTCTGCTTCATCGTCTTCTTCTGTCTCTTTTCTTCTTTTCTTTCTTTTTAATATTTTTATCTTTTGTCAGCAACACCTGGCAATACTTGCCAGAATGCAGAATGAAAGGAGAAGCGCACGAAAGAGATGACAAGTCGGGGGGGTTTTCCACGAAGAAATACCTAGAATATGTTTCTAAACTAACGGTATCATAGTGACTTCCCAAAAAGCTATAGTTAACTAGTAGTCTCAATAGTAGGAACGTATACATAGTATAGTAATTCGTCAAAAATTATATTCGCTCTAGCTAATTCAAACCTAGTTTCACCTAAAAAAAAGTCTCATTAAAGTAACTAAGGTTCGTAACAACACAAATGTTTACCTAATTTACCTAGATATATATCTAGGTATACATATGGATATGTATAAATAGATATATATATGTATATATATATATATGCTCCGATATGTATAATCTGTAGGTCTATTACAAAAACTAGAAGGTTGTAATGCGGCTCTCACAAAATATATCGATATCAATATATCAAATACTATATGGCATTTTTACCAAATACGTAGATACAAAACAATATATAATATATGTATATAATCTGCTATTTATCTAGAATGGATTAATTACTTTAGATATTCCCTTCTTTTCTTTTTTTTGTTATTTCATTTTCCTTTTCATCATTTAATACTTTTTTTTATTAATTTTATTTCTCGTAAGGTACGTATCGTATATATTATATATTTATATATATATGTTATATATGTATAATTATGTATATATGTTATATGCATACGAGGCTTCGACGTATATGTATATAGATTCGCGGGTGTGTGCATCTATATACATACAGATAATTCTAAACTCGCGTATTTTTTTTTTCTTTGTTTTTCTTTGCTTTCTTTTTCTTTTTTCTCTTTTTTGCTTTTTTCTTTCCATCGTACACATGTACACCGTATTGGAATACGTGCTCCTCCATTTTCTCGATATTATGAAATTTCATGAAATTCATTGCGAAAAATACTCTGAAAGGCGCGACGAATGAGAAATGTTTATCGCCGACCATTTGCCGCGCGCCCCCGACGCGCTATCCGCCGTCACCATTCACGATTCACGGCTTTATTTATACCGCTCGACATGTCATCCCGTGGAAATCAGGAATTCACCTCCTTCTGGGAATAATACACGGCGTGCCGCTACCTGGGAATGTATTCTTTCTTTATTTTTTACTTTCTCCCATTTCTTCACTCGTTCCTTTTCTTTTCCTTTCCTCTTTCGTCCCCCCCCCCCCCCCCCCCCCGTTCCGATGCAATTTTAGCAATCTACGATCTCGACGACGGGCGCCTTCGCTCTCGAAATCGAGCGAGCAACCTTCACTTTTATAGAAAATAGAATGCCACGGGACCTCGACCTCGATCGAGCACCAAAGATTTCATACATTTTCCTTTTCCTTTTTTCACCCGACACCGTCGTCGATCCCTTCACTATCGTCCCCTACGAACAGAAATCGTTCGTCGAATCACGCGAACACAGCGAGCGCACTACCATAAAGCTTCGATCGAGTTTTCTACGAAATAATCTAATATCTACGAATCAATTGACGTGTTGTCGCGAACGCGAGCCGTTCGAGGCAGGAATTTCTATCTCTTTCGTTCGTCGAAAAGTACCTAAACGTCCCGTGTGGTGTACTGTGATTGCCTTTTTACTTTCCTCCTTCTCTGATTGGAATTCCAACGATAGTCTAACCGAACTATATTCGAAACGCGTGATACGTTGGTCGTTCGCGATTGATTGTCTCTTTCACTACTTTAGAATTTTCTTTCAACCCTTTTAGTGCCGGACAACGATTGTCGTTGGATACACTGTAGCGAAAAAACGCTCGGGACTGTATCGTGGATGATTCATTATGCTTGAAAATAATAATGATATGTGTTTGCTTCTTTAATGCTAAAATTATTATTCACTTATCGTGTTGAAATATAGATTTGAGATCTGATCGTTTCTTAACGCGTTTCTTTCTCAGTTCTGCAATTATCATTTAAAACCAAATTTTGATTAAAACATTGCCAAACGTTTGGCTTATGTCAGCACTAAAAGGGTCAGTCAACTAAATTTCTATGCAATTCGCCGGTAAATTACACTCGAATTCATTTGTCGTTGATTCTACGAATTGACGAAAAGGAGGAATGGCTTCTGCAAGAGGTACGTTCGATGTATCAATTTGCTATCGAGCGCTGCTCACCGAAACAAACTAGTTTGTCTAAATATGAACACTTCGTTTTATTGTCTCACTACTTGTCCCTTGCTACTCAACTACGAAAGTCAACTACCAGTCTTTTTCTGACGATGTTGGTTCGTTTCACTTCCTACGACATCTACGTTAACCCTTGGTTACGAGGAGAAACAATGCCACATTGGCGACTAACCGAATACTATCGGACAAACGTTATGACTCGCTACTACTTTATAGTTTTTTCTCAATCTTTATTTTTCTCTTCCTTTTTTTCTCACTACGATCACAGTTTTATTGAACTGAGCTTCTCGAGCAGTCTCGCGAGAATTTGTTTATTCCCACACTCGAATCCTGAGGAATAAAAAGGAATGGCTTCGTCTATGCTACGTTATTGCACTTGTCGATATGTCTTCGATTCGCTGTTACGCCGAAGTCGAAAAATCATCAGCAGGGTAATTTACGCTATTACTTTCCCGAAAACGAAGGCGACGAGGTCCTAAATCGAGGAATGTTTCAAAGTGCCGCGAAAGGCACCTGGTGTCCCTTTATGAGAACAACGTATAACGAGAAAGAAAATAAGTATCCTAACAAATGCAAAAATGGTAACGAAACAACGATTTGGCATAAAGAACACGATCGAACATGATATTAACACGTCGTTTAAATCAGAACGAACCCGACCAATTACGAGTCGATAGAAACATATCCGTTCAAACACTCTACACGAAATTACACAGCTACTGCTCCAAATTTGTACGTCCTTAAATTCCTTGGCACGTCATCTTCATTCCGTATAATTGTACCAAAAATATGCATTCTCCTGCTACCTCGAATATCCTACATCTACTCTACACTAGTCAACATCTACAGAATTCGATTTGATCAACGCATCGAACCAATGAATCAACAGATAAAGAATGATCTACGGTAGGAATCCATTTATATGAACTTGTCGGGATGCGATCAAACTTTCGATCAAAGAATCAACAAACAAGAGCGATAATAAAAATTTATTTGCATAAACTTGTCAAGAGACTATTAGTGTGCGTCTAGGTAATTGAAGTTCATGTACACAACAGGTGACTAATCATTTATAGGAGATTTTAAAGCGAAAACACCATGATGCGAAGAAAATATCCAAAATGTGGTGTGCTAGCGAAACAATTTTCAACCAAATGCATAACTTTATCAAAAAAGTCCGCGCTCGATTAATACCACTTCGCATCATCCAGACACCAACTATTCTAACAGTTCGTTCATATGAACAGACATCTAACTCGTAAATCACCTGCGAAACGAACGAATGTGCAAAAAACCACGTTGGAATATTGAAACGAACAAATCAAAGAAACAAATGCCCCGGGAAACCTTGCAAGCCTCTCTACTGAGGCCTGGAAAGGGGCGTGAGTATCGTCGGTCATAGTCCGATCGTGGGTATCGGATGGTAAACGGCACCCATGTCGAGGCCCTGTACGCCCAACAGGTCGCTCATGGAATAAGTGAGAGTGGCTGCTCGAGAGGCTGCTGCGGCCGCGACCGGATGAGGCCTGTAGGAGGCTGCGGCCGCAGCCGCAGCCGCGGCAGCGAGGGCCCTCTTGACATCGTAGACAGCCGCGGTGGTGGCCGCTGCGGCGGCCGCAGGTGCGGTCGCGCCGGCAGCGTACTGGTAGGTAGCGGCCGCGTTCGGTGCAGCGGTAGCGACGATCGGAGCGAGCAAGTGGTGGTGCGGGGTGCCGGCGGATGCTGCAGCGGCTGCATGTGCAGCGGCGGCAGCTGCCGTCGGAAGGGGATACGGCGCGTAACGATAGGTGGTGGGGGTGGGTGTCGCGACCATCACCAACTCACCGTAAGCGCCTCGGTTGGCCGCTCGCGTCTTCGCCAGGTTCGCCGGGAGCATCACTTCCTTCGGTTGTGCTTTCTTGCATTCGACCTTGAAATTCAACAGGGAACGATCAGTCGAGTCCTGGGTGGTATGACGACGATGGGTGACCTGAGATTTTGGAAGGTTTGTTGGAAGGATGCAAGAATCAGGGGGAGGGGGTGCTTGAGTCTTACTAGGAATCCTGTGTTTCTTCTGAAAATGTAATTTTCTGTTCAACAGGAAATGGTTAGTCGTGTCCTGGGTGGTGTGACGACGATGGGTGACCTGAGATTTTGGAAGGTTTGTTGGAAGGATGCAAGAATCAGGGGGAGGGGGTGCTTGAGTCTTATTAGGAATCCTGTGTTTCTTCTGAAAATGTAATTTTCTGTTCAACAGGAAATGGTTAGTCGTGTCCTGGGTGGTGTGACGACGATGGGTGACCTGAGATTTTGGAAGGTTTGTTGGAAGGGTGCAAGAATCAGGGGGAGGGGGTGCTTGAGTCTTACTAGGAATCCTGTGTTTCTTCTGAAAATGTAATTTTCTGTTCAACAGGAAACGGTTAGTCGTGTCCTGGGTGGTGTGACGACGATGGGTGACCTGAGATTTTGGAAGGTTTGTTGGAAGGATGCAAGAATCAGGGGGAGGGGGTGCTTGAGTCTTATTAGGAATCCTGTGTTTCTACTGAAAATATAATTTTCTGTTCAACAGGAAACTGTTAGTCGTGTCCTGGGTGGTGCGACGACGATGGATAACTTGAGGGTTGGGAGAATGTGAGAATTAGACAAGGTACTTGAATCTTTATATTAGGAATCAGGCAGATATTTCGAACAGTCCACGAGTCAGATTCTGTGTTTGTACAAAAAATATATTTTTTCGTGTAAAAGTTGATGTTACCTTCGCTAAATGTCTGTTTTGAGGGAGCCTAGGATACCTAGTTTGAGTAAAGGAGAAAATTAAACACTTTTGAACGTGGTATTGGGAAAATCTATCAGAACTCTGAGACCGAATTCATTAAACAATCGGACCATGATCATTAAGTAAAGATTGAATGCAATTAAATTCAGAGTAGAGTGTATATTCGATACTACCGTAAGACTAAAGGATAAAGCAGAAAAACTAGGATGTACACAGGAATTTCGCTAGTAATGCAGTTACTTCGTTCGTCTGACGAAGGGTGAGCCTTAACGAATGTGAAATGGTGAATTTCCGCGACAAACGCGTTCGATCTTCTGTTCGGGTAACAAACGAGGTTACGATAATTCGTTGGGCCGCGTTACATCCTCGTTATGAATGTGTACTTGATCACGCGCTTTGATGCGCGTAATCAAGGGTAATCCGCCGACAGCTAATCAACGTGATCTATCGCTCTAATATTATCATTTCAAATAGACGACTGTTTTATACTCTAGTTAATACCACGACGATGGTGTTGCTGGGTTATTGACGGAATCGCGGGATCGCCCGTAGCTCGTATGGATTTATGGTGTAACGAGAAGTGGCATCTCGCTAAATCCTTGATCGACGTCAACGGTATTTCGCTGCTAGCAGACGACAAACAGAACTGTCTATTACCGTAGGACCCGTGTGATCTCTGCTGTGATGGGCTTTCGAGAAACCGCTTTTCGTCTTCCAGTGTGCGATCCGCACACGCTCGACCGTGGTCGTCGCTGCGTGTTCACGTGTGCGGGTGTGTACGTCGTCTGCGTGTGTATGTCACGTGCGTGCATGTCAAATGCAAATAACCACGGCAGCCCTTCTCAATTATACGGAAAATTAATTCCGCTCGACGCCGTATCCGCAGACGAAGAGCGGAAGGCAAATACTGTTTGATACCACCTCTGTGGCCAGGTGGCGAGGATGTAGGAACAAGAGGGAGAGAGAGGAACAAGAGAAGGAGAATGGGATGGTCTCTTCGTTCGGCGAAAGGGGGTTTTGCAGGCCAGAGTGGACTCACCATTTTGTTGTTGATTTCGTGGAAATGAATCTCGCAGACTTTGTCGACCACGTCCTCGCTTTGAAACGTGACGAAGCCAAAGCCTGGAACAGAAAAAAACAGGTATCGTTTAATAATCGATAATGAAAGGCGCCTCGCTTTGCTACCAAGCGAAACTGTACGATAGAGCAACGTAATCAAAGTTAATTGCACCGCAGTTTCTATAAATTCTTCCCTTTCAATGGAAATTTATTTTCATTTATTTTCTCTTTCTCTCTCTCTCTCTCTCTCTCTCTCTCTCTCTATTTTTCTTTTTTTCTTTTTGCATCCGTTATATATTAGTTCGAACGACATTTCACTGACGAAATATTGAACAGACAGAGCTAACAAGATCCACGGAACAGTCTATAGAAACTCGTGCTGTTTCAGCGCGACGAGAGGATTCTCAATTCTCAAGGATTATCAGATCTTGCGCGCGAATCTTACGCGACACTTTAAACACGTGGCACGATTCCGATGAATGTCCTTTCATTCGACGTAATTCACCGTGCTTAAAAACCCGAGTTAACGTAACTTCCACGCGCACCCTGGTGCCACGGAGATAACTATACCGTCAGATCTTCCATTAATTCAGTCGAGTCGGACGAGTTTTGTTTCCTTTCCAACCCGTTTCTTGTCCCGAGCTACCCCTTTCCACTCGAACGCGGTCTAAGCATTTCTGCTCGAAATTTATTTCACTGTAGAACGAACCAGGAACGGAGAGATAGCAAGAGAGGAATAGTCGAAAAAGGGATGACGAAACGTTGGGGCGGTGCGCGGTGGGGAAGAGAGGGGGTGAGTACGATGAGCCGGCGAAGAGTCATAACTTAATCAAGCATCAAGGGTTATTAAAAACTTTGCATTGGTCTCCAGGTGATTTTAATCTCGCCCCTTCGCGTCGCTGACTTTCTTCTCACCCTTCTTCCTCCCCCATTCCCTCCTCTCTTCACCTCCGCCCATCCCTTCGTCAGCTTCTACTCATCCTTACGCGGGAAGCGTAGTAATTCAGGCTCAAGTTATCCGGCGGGCGCGAGTTATACGAATCCAGTGCGCGATGTCGCTTAAGATAACCAGGAGTTAGTGCTTCCGTGCTGAAGCAGTCTGCGAGAAGAGGCGAAACTACGCCGGGTGACTCGTAATTAAACACAGCCGATGGATACCGGAGCCGAATGCGAGCCGACATCTCGCGATTCTTCGAGCGTTCTCTTCCCTCTCTTAAATTTTACACCGGAAATAGAACTGCGGGGGCAGGAGCGGCGCGCGCTGAATTAAATTACTGTTGGAACTACGGTTCATTCTCTGTGCACTCGACGAGGGCGAATCCACGGGCGGCGAACCTGCGCTCGAACCGAGAGGCCGCTCGTGCCATCGTCATCCCTCTTGCAGTTTGTCCGTGTAATTAACATCGATCGGTCTTAATTTCACATCCTTGTTTATTTACTCTTCGGTTAATATGCGAGAAGATCGGGCCGCGAACCTCCGGAAAGATCAAAGTTCGCTGTGTAATGAGAGTAATATACGGGATTACTTTTATTCCCGGCTGCTGGCCGGGAATGCTAATGCCACGGGGAAAACTTCGGCCCTCCCTCCACCCCTCTGGAAATTATTTGATTTTCCATGGAGAGTGGTTCCGCGAGGAATAAAGGGAATATAAAGTAGTTAAATTGATGAATGTGTTATTCGTACGGAGCGCGAGCTTACGGCGGCGAACGAATGAAATAAAGTGCGGTGAAGAACGCCGCGTCTAGGTTTTTCCTTTCTCCGCCGCCCGTTCGTGCGGTAATGGTCATTTCGCATGAACCGTACAGCGGTTTAATGCCTGGCTAGGAGAAACGAGAAAAATCTCGAAAACTCTCTTACGTGTTACGCTTTCACGTAATCTTTTAATAAAACGCTTTTAACGATTTATCCGCGCAACTTGCTCCTTTAATGCCACCAACTACGGGGAGGGCCGATAGTCCTAAAAATCTATCTCTTTATAATTCATCGATTTTACGGCCAGCCAGTTGAAGCGTATTTCTAAACTTAACGAACTATATTCAGGCCGAAATACATGTTACATTTAGTATCGTGAATATTGTAAGAACTGACCTGTAAGTAAGATAACCATACAAGTACGTGTGTGTGTGTGTGTATATATATATAACGTTACCGAATTTAATATTCTGTGTTCGAATTGATGGACGTATTACGCCCAACATCGTCGCAGAATGTAAAATTAACCGACCTCTGATCGAAACGGCACACTCGGTACACTATATACGAGAATATATATAGCGTAACTCGGAACTATGTTCCCGAGCTTCTCGCTTCTTCTCTTTCCGATCAAATTCTCTCTTCGATTCACTTTCTTTGAATATCTTTCTTTTCACATCGAATATCGCCTCACCCCCTCCCCCTCCACCTTTCCCTCTTCCACGCGGTCCTTCCCTCTGGCATCACTTTCGTCTGCAACTTACACTGCCGGTCCCTCGACCTTTAAGCTCCTCCGCCGGCATGAAAAGCACGAGTGATTAAGTTATAAACTTGGCAAGACGTCCGTTTGAGTGAGGAAGGGGCTTACTTCATTTATGTAATTTATTGTACTCTGCCAGTCAGGCTAACTCCACGGAGCCTGAGCACTCTCGCCGTGGTACAAAGGCCATGCCCTGACACCGGTAACATTTAACTACTTCCTGTTGGAGTCTACCGAGCGTGCACGCAGCGTCCGGACGCAAGGACCGAGCCAGAGTGGGACATGGAAAGAGAGAGAGAGAGAGAGAGAGAGAGAGAGAGAGAGAGAGGAGAATATTCACCGTTCCGATATTATTCGTCTTTTAAAGCGTGCCCTAATATCCTGCAGGATATTACAAAGTCGTCTTCCTTTAAGAGGTATTAAAAAGTTATGACAGGACTGTTCACGCTCAAGGCCCACGTCCTTCAGTCACTTTTGCGCTGGGAATAAAGTCGACGGTATGCAGCCGGCGATATGATGTATGCGAAATATCGCATGAATTTATAATATGACCGACACCGTTATAAAATAACGGGCTCCTCCCTTCCGTACGTCTTCGTGCGCGCCAAATGAAATTACATTGTTTCATAAATTCCGGCAGCGTTAAACCGCTTCACCGTATTCCCTAAGTATAATCTTGTTCCTAAGTTTCGAAACAATTGCGAGAACCGAAAAATGTCCAGGAAATTACTGCGTTCTCCAAGATTCGGTATTTCACTTGAAACGAATAAAAAAATGTGTGCGTTTAATCTTATAGCAATGGTTTTGCCAATTGGACGAAACAAAGTTATCTTTTTCCTGCAACTTTTTTCAAACAGTTTTAATAACATTTTGTATGAAACCAATAGGTTATAGGTCTTCAAAGTTTCTGACGCGTGTCACGAGTCTTCAATCAGACTATCCCAAACACGCTTCGCACCTCGTGAAACACGTTGCTTCACGAGCGGTTGAAAATACTTCGCTTCATGCGCCATGGAATATCGTCGTTCCGGGGATTTTGACACGGCCGAGCGTTTACTTTTACCATCGATAAAACGAAGGTCACGTGTTCTCAGGGTCTCGACTATTGGACAGGATCACCACGGGACAAAGAGCGGGGGAAAGGTAAGGTCAGCGCGGTCAGCGGTCTGCGAGCAGTCCAATAAATTTTCCAAAGAAAAACCAGGACCCCGTGCTCGAATTTTCATAAGGGGATTTATTTTCCATGGTGGGGTCTCGAGAAGTTCCAGTCTCGCTTGGAGGAGGTAGCAAGGTCCAGCGGCCGTCTCCGTTGGGTCATCGAAGAGGCGGCCGTGAGGGAAAAAGGTGCGTGCTCAGCTGTCCAACCCCTCGTCGGACGCCAGATGCGCTCATTTCAATAAAAAACACACCCCGAAATATCCTTTACTCGTGGCGGCCGCCTCTCTTTATCCTCTTACCTACCGAGAGTTCCTTAAACGATCCATAAATGGTCCTGCCGGTGTGAAATTACTGTAGAGTCGTGCCGGTTATCTGACTTCTTTTTTTCTCGCTACCTTTCCGGACCCGTGGAGTTATGGCCGACTTTATCGACGGAGGGCAGCGAATCGAATGAAAATATGTTTCGGGCAACGCCACTTTCCCGAAGATTTAGCTATTAAAGGGAGCGCGAGTCTTCTCTGGCGTATCACGCGTGTACAGTAGGTAATGATCTTATCGATCAGACAATGGATTTCGAGGAAAAATGGATTCGTTGGAAACTCTGACACGATCGCGTGATTTATTTTCCTTGAACGTTGTACAGTTTACTGACAATATATTTTGCTGTTTGATTTTTAATTTGAATTCCTTGATTTTACTACGTTCTTATTATTGTATTTATTCACTTTCGATAAAATTCATAGAATAACAGAACGTAGACTTGCATTTGTAGCAAATTTGAAACGACTGAACAGGATATACGTAACAGACTCTCTTTTCCACGTCAAACAGTGATTCCAAGAATACAGTCTATAAAATGATTTTCTATCCTCGAAAAATATGATTTCTCATAAAAATCCACTATTTCACGCTGTACGGACCGACTAAGATGACAAATCGAATCAACCGTCGGTCCTTCTTAAAAAATTATCCAATCGAGATAAACCTCTAGCCGCGAGAGATAATCGAAAAATCGTCGACGATCGTTAAAGAGCCAGGGAACGATACATCGTGAAAACGACGTATCTAATCTCGGCGACGAAGTTGGACAAGTATTAGCGGCTTTCGTTCTAGGGTTAAATTCTCTTGACGAGAGGAAAAATGGAGCTTGATGGCTCCAAGTGGCAGGCGTTGACGGAAGAGAGCAATTCTTCCCTGTTCTCCGCGACCATCGTCGTCCTCGTTCGGTTCTCGTCTTTTCCACCTTCTTTCTCTCTTCGTTCCCTTGTCTACCTACCGCCCTTCCCCCATTTCTCTCCTCGTCATCTCCACCCCACGGTCCTCGAGCATAATGCGACCCCGCCATTGTACCAGTGGCCATGTTAACGTTTAAAAGCCACGCTGCCGTTAAGCGCGTTTCAGAATTTTACCGTCTATTGAAGAATGGTAAAAGGTTTCTTTCAAAAGGCTCGG